ATTAAAAAAACAAAAATAATAATAAAAAATTTGTATAACAAAAAGTTTTCAAAAAATAAAAAACAAAAATGATAATCATTTCAATATTCAATTAATAATTGCTAGTTTTCCTAAAAACTATATGAAGGCCTCTACCAAATTTTATTTGATATACAATTATCGGAATAGACTTGAATTGACAATCTTGATTTTGATATATATAAATTCAGAATTTTTTTTTAGAATTTACTATATATTCAATATCAATAAATAATTTAAGTTAGTTGTATATTATTTACTTATAAATAATGATTGGAATTTTTTAGGAATATTTTTTGAGTTTTAAAAATATTTACTTCGATTTCAGAGTCAATATTAAGTATAGATTATTAATTTTGAAACATTATTGGTTATAGAAGGAACCAGAAGTGTAAGTTAATGATTTTTATAATTACAAAGAAAAATTGTTTCAAATTATATGTTTAGCAACCTCTGTTGAATGCAAGCTAAAACACGTGCGATTGTACCATCGATAGTCATATATGAACCCCAACTATGACTAAATCATAGACAGGTAACGATAATCTCTATTAACCTGCATCAACGAGGCTAATTTTCAGTGTGGCAATATTAACTCATAGACAGTCGGATCTATGCAACTGGAACGGACCCAAATTGTTAACCAACTAATAACTGTAAACTTGGCAGTTTTCACAAAATTTTTTGGGAAAAGTTTTCCGCTTTTTCTTAGAAGCATTGTATATATTGTAGACTCTTTAGTTTTCTGAGGCTAAATATTTCGATTAATTTTATATCTTTTCTTTACCGCAAATCGAACTCGGGAATGACTTACTGACAGTCAAGCACTTAATATACTTTTGCACAAAAGGTTTATGTAAAGATTAGCACCGGCTCGAAAGCTATTTGTTACTACACTCCGCGTCTGCTTAACCAACTGTGAACTATATGCAAACAGTAATTTTTTCGCACATAATTAACTCGGAGGTATTGAGGTGTCAATTTCAATTACTATGTTAATATATAAACAAATAGTATATACTCGTATAGAATAGTATATAGTACCACATATACTTATGAAACCCCTGTGAGCATTTTGTACATTTAAAAATTGCATATACTATGTACATTTGTAGAGCAATATTTCGCATAATAACAACAGATGACGTTTCTGATAAAATTCTAAGAATTTTTATTTCATTCTGATTTCAAATCATGTGACGAAAACTTTATATAATATCTTAAATGAAAAACATTAAAGTCAAAAGCTAGCGAAAAATTATAATCATGCGATATAACAGTACACTAATAAAAATAACGAAAAAACGTGCGGGGGCAGAACGAAAATCAACACACACAATTTAGAAATTTAATTCGTTCAGAAGTACGCGAGTCAGATGATCA